CATCCAACATGAATACATAACTTGTCATGAGATTATAATATCTAGTTCCAATATTGACCGAACTCGTCCCACATGCAACACAAGGAAGTGATTAAACAGGGAACGTGCTCCCTCAATGTGTATGGCAGATGTCATGTTGCATTAATATATTCCCATTTGGAATTATTTGGTAGATTGCTTTTCAGAATTGCTTCGGTTTAACAGCTAAAAAGTCAAACCTGCTTCATAATGTTTTTCATTTGGAATTAATGTCGCATGAACCTCCGGTTGGCAGTCGTCTGACCCTCTGTGCCAAATTCAAATGGCCATATCTCAGTCAATTTAAGTCCAAATTAGGTCATGTTCAAATTAAACGTCTTGAAGTCGGCTTTCTAATGGCACCTACTTAACTCAAAAACTCCAAGTACAAAAACAATTATGGCAGTTTTAGTGCAACCTGGTCAGGAAATTTTTGTGCTGAAAATTGCTTCTTATGAGATAGCCAACTCTCTAGCACCTAGTGCATTGATGAATGGTTTAATTAAGTTCAAGTCCTATTTCTAAGGGTCTAGGGACCATTTAAAATGATGTTCATCAAGTGTGTTGGATTCTAGAGTCTTAAACCAACTCAATGTGACAAAGGCCTTAGAATTGAATAATAAGTTTAAAGCCTTAAAATCTAATTTCTGGAGACCAATATAAATCATATGATTAAAGTACATGGTCCTAGTATTTCTAGCTCAAGTGTTGAGTTCTTTCAATGTTTATGAAAGCTTGAACTGACTCATTCTTAGTAACGACTTCATATATGAATTTTATATGTAATGAAGTTCATAGTAAATTGCTAATGGTTATAAGAACTCATGAATGATATAATGATATGCATGATCCAATAGAGATGAGCTTCAAATGGATTCGTAAATATTTTAACATTGAATCCTAAACACTCGCCAACCTATCTACCCCTTTCTTCAAGCTTTGTCCATGGTCATTTAGGCTTTAAGGTATTCTTGTTTTCTTCATTTGAGTTGCTTGCTTGTTCATTGTAGTCCAAGCTATCTTTGAGTGGACTTGCATTTGGTTCCTTGCAACTTCGTGTCTCTTTGTATCCATTGCTTACCATTGATGTGGTCTTGAATAATGGAATACTTGGAATGATCTTTATTATTTCATTGAGGGCATTCTTTGAGTATGAATCATCTATAACACTCATTGTAAACATTAGTCCTCAAACACCATTAATAGTTTGTAATCATCAAAATTACTAGATTGCCCTTGGATGAAATCCTTAAGGTCAACATTAATGGTCTAGGGTTTGCCTACAATGTGGTATGCGGTGCATTAATATATCATCAAAGGACCAATTTTTCTTGTAACAAAATGATTGAGACTAATTTAAGCTGTCTCTTGTGCACATCGGTTTCAATACCATGACTACAAGTAGCTAGTGAATATCTGATTCAATTTGTTTGGCTTCTTGGTGCAGAATGTGCTGTTCATCTGCTAGACAAAACCACTGCAAGGTCTGTTTATAATTCAATTACATGGTTATTGAAATTCATTCATTACTTAAAGAAAGTACATACTTGGTGAGATAATTTAACAAGTGATGTTATGATTACTATTGGCAGGATTATGATTATCTAGGGCTATTAATTTAGATTAGCTGTGTCTAGGTATCACTCTGATGATAAAATAAATTTTAAAAATAGTGGGAAAAAAAAAAAGGAAAATAAAATATTAACCCTAGTTGATAACTTTGCTTCTTCCATAGGATGTAACATATAGCTTTACAAGGAGTTTTTTGAGTAGCTATTATTTATGGTTCAAAGAGCGGCAGATTTTTTTTTTTTTCCTTCTTGAAAACGACACAAATTTCATGAATCCATTTTGGCTTTTCAACTTTCTCCTTAATATCGTATGATCTGTTCTACTTAAATTCTAGTGGCTCTAGAAGCTAGTTTTTTGAAAATTATTTTATTCTTGCTTCATGTAATTTTTTGTTAATAGTTGTAAACTTGTAATTGATATATTGATGCATTTTTTATTTTTAAAATTTATATCTTTGGCAACTCCCCTCCAGCTTCAGCACACACTCTCTCTCATTTAATCTTTCTTAGTTTCCTTTTTTAAGCATGATATTCATGAATTTTGAAGCTTTCCTTTTCAAAACAAGAATGGTGGCATACAGTTCTCACTTGAATTTATTCTCGAGTCTTCTCTTAGTGATTATATCATGACAACCAAATTGATTTTTTTTTTCCTTTTTTTTGGCTAGGAATGATGGATACTTGTTACCTGTAGATTTTTGTTGTTCTCGGCTTCTTGCTACACCCGTCTACCAGATTTGCTAAATTCTTAGAATTTTTCCTTTATTTTTGTTAATTTCTCAACTTGCAATCTGAGTTTAAATTTGAAGAGAAAATGGACGTGTTATATGTGCCCTTTGTGATATTCTCAGTTTCAACTATGGCGTTTAGATATTGGGTGATTAACTGATAGAGATTACTGATAGTTTCTAGATATGAAATGCCTGATTGGATTTGATCAGAAAATTTACAGTCTAAAGCGAGTTTTAAAACATATTCGATTCCTAATGTTGTAATAGTTGTATAACGGTGAAACTTCCTAATGTGATCCTGCCAATGTATTGTGGTCTTTTGCAAGGAAGGAGCTTTTTGCTAGAAGAAGTGATGACATTGAAGTTCTTTTCAAGCTTTTTGACTGGTGAACCAAAGACAGTTCTTTTACTCAACCTCTGAGCAAGATCAGTCCAGTCCTTTGTGGTCCAGAAAAACTCAATCAGGGCAAAATAATTCTGTCGAGATGCCGCAATCCGAGCAGCTGTGTACAAATAATACCTTGTAAACTTTTGTTTCATATCTCAATGATAAGAATCCACTTAGAGCCCGCGTTTGGCGTTGTTGTTGTAATGGTAAAAAGCTCTTTTATCAGTATTATAGAAGTGATGTCACTAAAAAAAACATGTAAGGTTAATAAACATGTGCGACTTGAGTATATTTGAAATTTGACTCCCATCTTGCTTTCATGAGTTATAGAAAAACTTAAAATGAAATAATCAAATGTTCAACGGACATGATACTGTGAAACAATATAGTTAATGTGTCAAGAAGGTAAGTATATGGTTACCTTCAAACCAGCATTAAACTCGTGAAAAGTAGCATGCTTCATAAATAAATAAATATATATATATGTATGTATAACATAAAATAAATCCAGTAACTTTAGGATCAAGCTCATATAATATTTAACGAGATCATAGAGACATACGTGTAGAACTATGGTCAATGGCGAACAACGTTTTTAACTTAGATCAACATGTAATTATAAGACTTAAAGAGGGATTAGATTGTCCAACAAAAGTTAGATACTAACCTCTAGCATAACGTAATTTCAGAAGCTACAATTTTTAGCTTCATCAAAAGCTCCAACCTCTACCTTTTTTTCTTCACCAAAAACCACTAAACATTATTTTTTAAATTCAACGTGCTTTTGAATGCTGAAAACGCAATTTGAATGCTGAAAACGCAATTCCAAACTAGGCTTTATAGAGGGTCTTAATTTGTAGTTTAAACACAAGGAGATGTTAAAATTGTTTGAAATTTGTTTCTGATCTCAAATGAAAATTTAGAACTTTTGTGTTCAATATTTGATTTGGTGTGAGAACGAGATGGTTTTATTTTTTAGGTGGATGTAAAGGTTGCTTGGATTGTTTCTAATGCAATATCTTGTATTGAATTGATTATCACTTGGTGAAATGTTTTGAAAAAAAATTCAACCATGGCTTTTATGTTATTTCAACCAATATAGTAACTAACATATCAGATTTAGTGGGTATTACTAGTGGCCTAGTCCAACCCTCCCAACACAATATAGTAACCAACTTCTCACTCTTAGAATATCAAATTTACCACCATAATAAAAATATTTGGCATGTGGCATATAGTCCATGATTGATAGATGTGGCGATTGATAGATGTGGCCCGTTATCGTGAAATTTGTTAATGTCATCCAAGCTAGTTACTTATTTTATTCTCTCAAATTTGATTAATTTTTTAGAAGTTAAGATCGCGAATATAATTCAAACTTTAGTCTCGTAGATTAGTCGGGACAAAGTACTAAACACCTTGATTATTAAACAAAAAAATAAAAAATAAAAAAGTTACTTATTTTCAAATCTTAAAATTTTCATATTTGTTATATGTTAAGAAAAAATATATGAAATGTAACGTATTTTTCATTGTTAATGCATGTTATAAAGAAGTTGGGATGCAATGTTAAATTTTCTGGAAATCTCAGGAATGTTCAAGTCCGGGAGGCAAGCCCATATTTAGAGAGATATTTTTTACTTTTTATTTTTAATGTTATTTTGAAATTCGTTAATGTCGTTCAAAAGTTCTCTATTTACAAATCAATTCCATTGTAAAACTTGTCCTCATTTCGGTATTACACTTTAATTTAGTTGAAAAGTGCCCAATTCCTATACTCGTAAAAAAATAAAATAAAAAATAAAAAGAGAAGAGAGAGAGAGACACTTATCCTTATTTATCTCGATGTTACAAAACTGAAGTTGGATATGGCTTCCTCAAAAATATCTCACAAAACTAATTAAAAAACATATCTTATTATTTTTATATAAAATCACAAAAGTAATAAAACACGAGGCCCCAAGTCCGATACGCAAACCCGGCTGGTTAGACACGTACGCATCGATCTTCGCTCCAAATCTGATGAGTCAACAATCTTGTCCACCAAAAGCCCAAAGAAAAAACATAGTTTTTCACCACACGAAACGCCACGTACAGAGATCCAGCGATTCGGTGCCACGCGTCGACTCTAACTATCTTCCGCCAAACCAAAATAATTTTTTCAACTATCTCAGTGCCACGCGTCGACTCTAACTAATCTCAGCCGTACACGTTTTCCCCCTCAAAAAACTCAATCTGCTGTTTCGCGTGCTCAACCTCCACGTGTCCACATTAAATATATTAAACGCCTGATATTTACTGCTTCGTCATGCCATGTGTTTCAGTCTGTTCAGCTTTCTTTTCACTACTTAACAACGACTAGTTTGTCTCCGGCGATTAATATTGTGTTGTCACATTCCGGCATGACGAAGCAACTCGGTGTGAGAAGAGCGATGAATGCTCGCCGGAGAAGATTCAAAGTCCGGCGACTGAAATCTTCGACAAATCCAGACTTCGCCGTCGCCGGCGATCCGGGAAATGTTCCCGGCGACGATCGGTGTTTCGAGAAGAGACGGTTTCACGACGAAGGTGTTGAGTCAGATGAGGTAAAAAGAGGAGATCCTTTGGAGATGCAAGCGTTGGTGATGTCATTATCGTTCTCGTCCTCGTCGGCGTCTTCGTCGGATCACTCGCCGGAGAGTGACGCTATTCCCGGCGGGGCTTCGAGTTCCAGTGACCGAGAGAGTTCGCGGAGAGTCACGTGCGTATCCAATGGATCAGTATCTATAATTGGCGGAAGAAGAGAAATGGAGGACGCTGTGCGATCGGAGCTAGGATTTCTAACCATGGATTCGAGAAATTACGACTTTTACGGTGTGTACGACGGCCACGGAGGGTCAGGCGTCGCGCGCGGTTGCCGTGACCGGTTGCACCAGTTGGTGTTAGCGGAGATAGAAGGAGGAGAAGCTGTGTCCGCGATGGAGGTGGATTGGGAGAAGGTGATGATTGCGAGTTTCGGGAAGATGGACGAGGAGGTGTTTGGGTCGGAGAGTGGCTCAACGGCGGTGGTGGCGGTGGTGGGAGAGGAGGAGCTGGTGGTTGCGAATTGCGGCGACTCTAGGGCTGTGCTGTCTCGAGGAGGTGTTGCGCTTCCCATGTCTACTGATCATAAGGTATTTTTTGGACCGTTTTGATGTTTCTATAAATATGCATGTGTGTATATAACCTCTTGCGCAACAATAAGCAGAATATATATATATATATATATATATAGAGCGATAGTATGAGTTAACTTACAGAGTTCCTGAATAAGTTAACCATCTCCATTGACCAAGTTGAAGTCTGGAGTTAGAATGCTGCATGATGTTGAGTTGTGGCCGTTTGTAACTCGATTTTTGACCCAGATCTTAGTTTCTCTTGTTTGATAGAGAACTCTGAAAATCCAAATTAGAGAGACTGAAATGGGGTGTATTGGAGTTGGGGTTTGAGACTTGTACATCTCATTTTCGCTTATAGTGAAAACTCAAAACTCTGGTTCTAGTGCTGAACCACATTAATTTGTTGTTTCTATGTGGGTGTGATTTACTATTTCTTTTATTGCTTGATCATTTTTGGCAATAAATAAAAATTAAAATTGACTATTCACGTATCTTCCAAATTGCATGGGAAAATTGTAAGGAATTTTGGCGAAAAATTGAATATTTGTTGTTTGATAGAAAATTTTAATAGTTTGCTTCTTAGGTTATGATTCGAATTGAATTAAGATAATTAAAATTGAATTGAATGCTTTATCTTGCTGCTCTGATCTCTCGTTGATCGGAAGATCATTGTATAGGTTGTGAGGGGTTTTACTTCCGTATTATTTTATGCTGTTATGTTAATATCTTATATTGATTATCGTGTGGACGTCCTCTATGTTCACAGCCTGACAGACCTGATGAATTGGAGAGAATTGAAGCCGCTGGTGGAAGGGTAATAAATTGGTATGGCCAACGGGTTTCAGGAGTTCTTGCTACTTCCAGATCTATAGGTATGTAGAAAATTATGATATTCTTTCGTATCATTTCCTAACAATTATGAAGCTCTGATTGATCTCAGTACTCTGCAGAATTCGATAGCAAATAAATTGTGAATGTCTGGCTCTAATTTGTTGTTCAGAATGGCTTTTGTTGTGATCCATTAAGATTAACACTATGTATTAATGGGGATGTATAGTCTGTTTATTCGTAAATTTTCCTCGAAATATATACTCTGAGCAATTCCATGATTCTCAGCATGCAGATAAGTCTCTCATAGATATTAAAATCCAAGGCACAATTGATTCTTATCTCTGGATTGGTTTCTCCGGATATGCTAACTACTCTAAATCGGTTGTTGATGAAACATAAACAAATACTGTAATAGAATGGTCTGTGCTAGTGAAGTTGAATTGGCTTTTTGATTGGTTTTGTTTGATTCCTTGAATATTAAATTCAAACCTATGTCAGAGTCCTGAGGTGTTAAATATCCAAATTTTCTATAGGACATCATTTCAAGCATTTTGCATCCGTGTAACCTGTGCCCTTGTTACATACTGTTACAGAACATTTTTCCTGTAGACAAAATTAAGTCGGCTACTTTAGTATTGATTGACAATTTGAGTTTATTACTAGCGATGAAGAACACAACCCCTATATTCAACCCATCATCCACCAATAAGCTTGACCCACCAATAAGCTTGAATTGAACCTAAACTCATCAACCTCAATTGTTTCTTGTATTGTGCTTACCGAAGATCTCAGCATAGTTACTCTACGAGTAGTTGAGGTTGGAGATAGTTGGATTGTGATAAGTCATCCCGCAGCTGTGCATGGCAAACAACATTGATCTCATCCACTATTTATGTTATTATGTTCGTTAGGAAGGAAAGAAGAGGGGTGGAAGAAAAATAGAAAGAAAGGAAGGAACAAATTTCTTTAGTTTGGTAGAGCTGATATATGAAAAGAAAGGTTAATAAGAAGGATGAGTCATCCTTCCTACTTTACAAATTTTCATCCGCTCAAATATGGACGAAAGATAAGAAACAAGTGAGCCTATTATAGAAGTTTTAAATTACTACATCAACTTTCATAATCAATTTTTTTTACTCTTCCATCCAACTAAACAAAATTTTTAGGATATCTCAATCATCCTTTCTTCTCTCCCTTCTATTCAATTTTTTTTCCTTCCTACCGAACGGAGCTTAGCAATTTATGTGAGAAATAAATCTAACCAGTGGCCCATTAAGCCGTGTGCTATAACTTCTCAAGTTTTACATGCAAGGTGAGAGTTCGAGTCCCGAAAGGGATTATTGTGTGGATTTGTTGCTTACCTAACAAAAAAATAATAATAAAATTGAAAACACAATCTTGATGGTTGTAATCTTCTTTTTCTTTTTTTTTTTTTATAATGTTACCTTACAAAGTTTTCAAACTTTATTACAGGGGATGACTGTCTCAAACCATTTGTGATATCGGAGCCAGAAGTTAGAGTTTGCAAGAGAACTGATGCAGATGAATTCTTGATACTCGCTAGTGACGGCCTATGGGATGTTGTTTCTAATGACGTTGCATGCCAGGTCGTGAGGAGGTGTCTCAATGGCCAAATGAAGAGGAGAACCCAAGAAACTGTTAGCAGAAGGGAATCCAGTGCGACTGTTAGGAAAAGCCCTTCTGCCGAAGGAGCACAAGCACTAGCTAAATTGGCTGTGTCTCGTGGTAGCAATGACAACATCAGTGTCATAGTGGTAGAATTGAAGAAACCTGGTAGATGCACAACAATGTAATGGAGTCAAAAAAATAAAATTCGTTCGGTTTCTCTTAGCAACTGATGGTTTTACCTCTTTGTCAATATTGTTTTCTCAGAAAAGGAATGCATGGAAAATGTTTTTTGAAATTTGGATAGCGAAAAGAGTTGATTGATCTGATTCTACCGTGCGCTTTCGAACTACTTGTATCTAACCATTAGTGGCTTCTTTTTGTTGGATCTTTGATAGGCCAAAAGGCTAGGCAATGGCATCTGTCATGGGCAAAAGCTGATGGGAGTTCATTGCATAAACAGAGATGATGGGGTATGTTCCACACCTCGGATCCATCAAACAAACTTGGAGTCTACTGTCTACTTCTCGTGTGCTCGAGCTCGATGGAGTTTACATGACACCAACTCATATGATGCTGTTATATGCTTTAGAAGGCCGAGCGGAAATTTCCTTAATTGGTATGCAACTTGCAACAGCATGGTTGAGGGCTTTGTATCGGAGTCTGAAAGTCTTCAATTGGGGGTCTTTGGCTCTACTTCCTTACCCTTCATATTCTGTATCTGTTTCTTTGTTTGCTTTTCTTGATCAAGCATTCTTGTGCTTACACACCTGCACATTTGTACCTGCAGAAGATAGGCATATGCACGTGTAGTAGGAGAAAAATTTAATTGTGCCGGTTGTAGTAATGACATGGTTGATGGCACAGATAACGAAGTATTAATAGTGCAGGAAGTCTTTCTTGAGTGGTAGTGTGTATGAGCTTCACAAATGTTTCTTTGTCGAATCTGCCATTATTAGTTTCAAGTAGTCACAGTTCAAGTTGTGGTTTTACATTTTTCAATCTAGCATTATGCTTTGTGGTGCATTCTGTGCAATTCAAATGGGTTGGGCTGGGTTTGTTTATCAAGTAAGTTTGAAATTCAAGTTCAAGCTTGAGCTGAGAAAGCCCGAGACAGCTCGGATTGTTTGCAATAGGGGTGTAATTTGGGTGGGTCAACTCATTTTCATGACCTCTGGACAAGTATTTTTACAATTAGAGTTGGGTTGGTTTTGGGTTGAAAATCTTAGGATTGGGCCGGGTTAGTGGGCCTGATCTCAACCTGAATTCTAATTCAATTTTTATACATATTTATACTTTAAATATTATATATATGATCACATTTTTTGTTTTAACTTTCTTTGTTCAAATCTTAATTAATATTTTTGTATGTTAACACTATGAATAATTAATTTTCTAATAATTTGTTTTTAATTTTTTAGAAATCTGTACTAAGTTTTGTTAAAAAAATTATACTTAGGAGTAATCAATTAAAATTAAATCAAGATCAAATTAAATTTTTAATATACAGATTAACTATATAGGCAATCTGAATTAACCGACTTTCTAATTCAGAATTTCACCTCCAGTTGTAAACTTGAATTTAAACATTTAAGAACAAGTTGGATTTGAACATTTTACTTGTTAAGTTAATCCTGAATTGTACATTGTCCAACACATTCGAGTTGCAATACTACTTGTGCACTTCATTAATTTTACTATTAAGTATTAAACTGATTAAAACTGATTTCTCAAATTTTTGTGTTTAGTGAAAAAAAATTTTATTTCTTTAATGTGATAGATAGAACTCGCACCGATTAAAACCTTCTGACTGAAAACATAGACTCGGAAATGTCGGTCTAAATAGCATTATTCAAATATACCAAATGCAAATAAAAAAATGCCCTTGGTAACACGTGTTATAATAGAACGACTAGGACCTTCCACCTGAATGTGACACACCTAAAAGCAGGTCCCTTCAATTGTGGTGTGCATCAACTGACACACAGACAAAGGACTAGTCACTAGTCTTTTGAAATCCAGATCCAAAATGAATTTTTTTCAAACGACTAACTAGTAAAAGGCCTCACCTATAATAGAAACAAAAATTAAAAAAAAAAAAAAAATTTTGTGCTTCGGATCAGTGTGTCTTTTATGTCTGGTGATAGGAACTTGCCATACCACTGACAGTGAGTGGTCTATTATGCAAGAAATTATTAGGTATTTTGGGTATCACCCAAGAGACAAATCTGTCACACTGGCCCTGAAATATCTGTTTCTAATCTGTCCATGTGAATATATGGTGTCATTTATTTCTGGCACTTGGTCCTTTTCCATTTTTTTCTTTTATCCTTTTGTATGTGTGGTGGGATTGCAATGGGTTAGGGTGATATTTGGTTGAATCTAGTTAGTCTGTGGTCGCAGTGTGACGAATTCAGACGAATATTGATGTAAACTGGTCGAATCGATCGATTCATAAAGATATGTAACGGTATCCGAACCTTGAAAAAGAATTACGAATCGACCCATATGTCGCATATCGACTTATACGGCGAATCATGGTTAGCACTTTTGTTGCGTTTAGAACATCGAATCAATGTTTTGGATTGGACTCGGTTACTCCACCACATGGTATAAAATTGTCTACTTTTAAGTCTGAGCCTTTACAATTTTGCTCTTGAATTTTATTCCAAAAAGCCTCATACCATTTAGTGGAATTGTGTCGTTACAAATGATATCAGAATTTAACTCACTCGGAAGTATGACCAACGAGGCAACGAGCATGTTAGGCCCTTAATTCAAAGTGTTGATTAATTTGGTACTCTCAAACATAGTAATCTTAGATTATATTAAGCTTACTATGGGAAATAAGTTACTAATATATATGGATCAAATTGAAGGGCCTACATTTAGACACACGGATTCGTCGTTGGAGTTCGATTCCTCCATTAATATCAAATACCCATACGGGAAAAGGGTTAATTTATGTAATGCTCGTCTCAACTATTAGATTTTGTTGGGAAGCAACAATCACATGATTACCCGTCAAATTGTAAATGTTAAATGATTGTTAATTAGTTCTGACATTTCAGCCGAAATGTTGGGTCGGCAACGTGAATCACATGCATCCTATTTGATTGCAGCATGTGATTGTAATGTTGTCAATTCAATCGAAATGCTGGTCTGTCTATCATTGCTACTCATCGTAGATGAATTTAGTTCAACTTTGATATAATTATCTCTCCACCCACCTCTAATTTGTGGTGGTGGCGGCGGTGCTAGGGTTTGGCTTGTTGGTATGGGATTTGATATTTCCTTTTTAAGGACAAAACTACTGTGCATGTATTGGTCAATATCAACACATTGTGAGGCCAACATCAGTTGGCATCTACTTTGATTAAAGGTAATGATCAGTACCAACTAAAGCTTACCAACCCTACATTTATAATTGATGTTATTCCAAAACATATCACAAGCTTGAATTGAATTTCAAAACCTACTTTGTCTTGAAAAGCTAAGTTGTATGGAACTAGTGGCCTCTTTTTAGAACTTGCTTAGCAGTCAAGGTCATGCTACAGAAACCTTCATGTGCTTAATGTGTGGTCTCTTTTTAATTTGCACATCTTTCCTCAACTTTGTTCTTTACATGTATTCCCATAACTTTTTGGTTAAGTGGGTGCTTAATGTTCATAATTACCCAATGCATTATTGTTCTTTCTTTTATCCAAAAGTATTTCCCACCCCAAAACAAGAATGGAGACTTGTATGAAGGTTTTTTCTTTTTTGAAAATAATAATAATAATAAATAAATAAATATTTAAAAAAAAAATTTAGTTTGATATAATCAAAGAGGGACTCGCGATATTGGGAGGGGGAACAAAAGTGATTTTTTTTTTTTTTTTTAAGGGGTAATATTAAAATTTCATAGGTATATAATTTTAAAAAAGAAAAATTGCTAGTATTAATACTTTAAATATATATATATTAGAAGGATGAAAAATGGAAGAGGTATCATTTATATTTTATTTGTTGTTTTACTTTTTAACTTTACAAGAAACACTTCATTATTATTTAAAGAACTAAGTTAGGGTGTTACTCTCACGCTACGTGTATGCGCTTTTGTTCTCACTCTTATTTTACATGATTTAAATTAATTCTGCACTAGTCGCCTACCGACTTAGCTAAAACCGTTAATTATTATAATGTTCTTCAATTATTATAATGTTGTCAGAACAAAGTTGTAGGCAAGAAAGAAGAAAAAGCAAAAAGAAGAAGATGAGAATGTGATGCCCCCATTTTCCCATTAATATAATTCATTGATCAATTACTGTTACAAAAAAAAAATGCCCCTTTTTTTCTTTCCTTTCCTCTGCCGAACGTAGGGAACTCCAACCATCCCTCCATATTTCCTTCTATCCTCTAAAATAATACTGTAAATTCCTTTACAAGCACTCTATCCGTTATAATTGGTATCAAAATCAAACCTAATTTATGTCCGATGTCATGTTAAGCGTACAACCCTGAGGCGTCCGGATCCCTATCCTGACTAGACAGGTGGCCCAACCACAATGAGAATGTTGCAAGATGGGGTGAGAGAGAATGTTACAAGTGCACTATATTAGATTTGGATGAAAAATTAAATAGGTATATACTAACATAGATACAACGCCTCAGATTTTTTATTTTTAAAAAAAAATTAATTATACAATTTTTTAATGTTCTCAACCGTAAAATTCAGTGGCAAACCAAATACAGTAGCACTTTGTTCATTTTCCTCTAGATGCCCAACATTGAAAAGTCATATTCTAGGAAAAAAAAATGAACGCATAGTCTTTCGATTGAAGGGGCCACATATGAGTCAATGACGCAGCTGGAGGGACTTCAATTGCTACCAAAAAAATCTTATATTGAATTCTTACAAAGTGCAATTTTATTTCAACAACTAACTGCCACAGATGAAACAAGTGATTTCAAGAAAGTCTTCAGTCTTCACCAAACTCTTTGACAGAAGTTTATTTAATCCATATCTTCTTTTCCTTCTTTGGTTTCATTTGGTTCACATGATTTAGGATTAATAAAAGAAAAGGGCAAAAAGTGAAAGTAATTTTAGTTTTATTTTCTATCTCATTTAAATGAGATAAGAAACTACAAAGTTTCAAATATAATCGGAAATTGAAAAATAAAAAAAATAAAAAGGGAAAAAAATAAAAAGAAGCTCATAGTTTCTTCCTTATCTCTTCTCATGCTATCCAAAGTAATAATTTGTATAATTATTTATTTGTCTTACTGAACATGTGAACTAAACAAGCCCGGGAAATGAAGAAAATGAATATTGTGGAAGCACATTTTTTTATTGATGCTATATTTGGTGTGCAGAAATGGAATGGAATGACTATTCTATTGGAATGAAAATTCATTCCATTACTAAACCTATAGAATGATCAGTCCATTCCACAATAAAATTAAATATTTTTGTAATATTTCCATTAAACCCTTCATCATATTTCAATACGGTAGAAATCTTTCGCATAAACAAAAAAATCTTTCACATTCCATTTTTCACGTTTCTCGAGCTTCTTTATTAGACGTGGTAAAGGTCTTTCATCTTCCCTCTCTTCTGAATATACACAGGGCTACCATTGACAAAAAGTTACAGGACATTCAACCAAATTGCAAGTATTAATCTTTTATCTTCTGAGTATATCACTTTTTTCTTTTCTTTTCTTTTTTTTCTTCTTTTTTTTTTCGTATCTTTGTGTTGAAACGTTTGTATGATTTCTCCATCTTTCTCTCTTCGAACATTTATATAAGAAGCAATGATAATATAAAATAAAAATTAACAATTGTCTAGAGTCAAAAATAATATTTTATTTTAGAAATAATTTCACTGACACCCCCAGTAATTTGACCAAATATCAGTCTAAA